TGGGAAGAAAATGGCGTACTGTTTCGCGTGCTCCGAGCTTCCTGGTTGGCAGCGGTGACGCCTTCCTGCAGCTCTTCATGCTCCAGAGGATCCACAGAGCCCTGATTCTGGGGTCAGAGGTCACAGAAAGGTCAGAGGTCACAGAGAGGTCAGAGAGAGGTCAGGGGCCGCACTTGTTAGTTTACCTGGGCCTTCTGCTGGCGGTCTGCGGTCAGCTGATCCAGGTACCAGGGCCCATTGTCAGTACGGAGGCCCCTGAGGGCCAAACACGGCAGCTGGAGTGCCGACAGCAGAGCAAGCTCGTCGGCGACATCCAGAGCCTCGTCGACCTGCTCCACCGCTGCCCGCACTGACGCCCACAGTGACACAATCGTTAGGTCATCAATACCTGCATTAATGCCATCAGGACAGGGGGAGGGGCTTATTTCTCACCATTGACGGCGTCGATGTGGTCCTGGATCTCCCTCTGAGTCAGATACTCCTCGTACATGTCTTTGTCCTCCGCCACAGCCTGCTGACACACACGTCAACAGTCACCTGATTGGACGGACACAAATCTCTTCGACCAATCAAAGTCTTACCCTGCCGGCGGCCCGTTCAGCCTTCCTCCTCCTCGCTTGTTGCAGCATCTCCTGGTAGACGCTCATCAGCGCCTCCTGCAGGTCAGTGAGGAGAGCAGCAGGGTTCCTCAGAGCCACCGCCGTCACACCCACATCCCCTTGGTCCACGGCCTCATTAATGGCTACCACCGCCGCGTGGACTGTTGGCAGAATGCAGGGTCAGTACCCCCAGCAGCCAATCAGAGTTTGTTCCTATCCTGTAGCTCCGTCCGCTATCAGCCAATCAGAGTCTGGTCCTACCTGCAGCCTCGTCCACTGACAGCTCATTGGCCAGGATTCCTCCGATCTTGTTGAAGGCGGGCATCTGGATCCCGTATTTGTCGAGCTCCAGCTTCATGTTGTTGATCTCTTCCTCTGAACAAAGTTACAGGTCAGCAAACTTGACTGTGATTGGTCCAACAGCCAGTTCTGTAGCGTCCGCCCCCGCGTTTCTTTTTTCAAACATGTTTCAAAGCCGCTTCCAAACCTTCCCAGCACCAACGTCTGTGAAAGTTCACCAAACCCAAACCATAACCATAGTTACCTATGTGGCGTTTACCTGTGAACTTGACTTTTCCATACAGGTCGTGAATCTGTGGAGCCAAACCGAGTCTGTACAGGTACAGGCTGCAGAGAGACGTAAGCACAGGTGAGCACAGGTGAGCACAGGTGAGCACAGCTGAGCACAGCTGAGCACAGCTGAGCACAGCTGAGCACAGCTGAGCGGTGGCACAGAGGACAGGTGATCAGACGAGCCACGAGGCGTACCTGAGCGCGTGGATGCAGTACACCGCTCTCGGCATGTTCTTCTTGTCGTACACGTCGGTCGTTTCAGGATGGAAGATCTGGAAACAACAACAGGTGATCAGCCCAGCTTCAAACCAATCAGCTAATCGATACGATGACCCGTCGATGTGTTCACTGACCGCTGGCAGCCCGAGTGCCGTCATGGCGTTTCTCCAGTGGTTGATGTTGTCAGTGTGGCGGAACTGAAGACCGACAGCCTGCAGGGATCAATACAGAGCTGATCATCGAGTTGATCAATAACCCCGCCCCCAAAGAGCGGCAGACCGGATCAGACTGGTTCTAGCTGGTGTGTGTCGTGACCTGGTATCGCAGCTGCTCCGGGTCGTAGATCTTCTTCTGAGGAACAGTGCTCGGAGCGAAGCGATGACCCAGTTTGGCGAGAATAACGCCGTTCCTCAGCGCCTCCTCCAGCTCTGTGGGAGCAGGAAGCTCCTCCCCCAGACACGCCTCCATCCACCTGAAGAAGAAACTGGTTCTGTTAACGAAAGCGAGCAAACACTTAAGGTGCTCCCGGTCCGGGTCACTGACCTCTTGGCCTCCTCCAGCCTGCACAGGTACTGATAGGCCACATTCTGGATCCTCTGTTCGTCCATCTGCTCGGCGGTCAGACGCTCATCTGCAACACGCCAGGAAACATGACATCACACCCGTGTCGCTCCTTTAACCGCAGATCAATATTGTGTCTCAGTTTGTTTAAATGACGCTGAGCCCGTTGCTAACACTACATCAGGTCAAACTGTTGATACGTTCCCAAAAGGTCGACTGTGTTCGTCTGAAGCGGGAGAAACGTTTCACCCTCATCAGCTGACCAACGACAGGCCATGAGGTCACTTCCTGGACCGATACTAAAGATATCACCTGATGATGGTGAAACGTTTCTCCCTCATCAGCTGACCAACGACAGGCCATGAGGTCATCGGTCCGTGGCCTGGTTCCAAATGTCTGGTTCAGAACCTGCAGTCAGCTGATACTAAAGATATCACCTGATGATGATGATGATGGTGAAACGTTTCTCCCTCTGAAAACGCTTCAGATGAACAGAAGCAACTTTTCCTCACCTGGATGATCGATCATGCATTTATTGCTCTTTATCAATGAATGTGATCAGCACCAAGTTACAGACAGAAACACTAATGAGTCGCATCATTAAAACCAGCTGCACTCCTGATGCTTCCCTCACACCTGAAAAAATTCCAGCTCAAAAATAGTCTCCTCACAGGAAGTATGGAAGATTCAGCTTCCTGCCATCATCAGTTTACAGTCCCGTAGGTGATGAAGGTCTGCCGTGTTTCTCGGAGCTCCTTCGGGTGAGCTCGGGCTGATGATGGAGGAGGACGTGACGCACGTTTGATCCACGATCTTTGAATGAAGCAGCTGAAGCTTCCTCACACGTTACAAACGCGTCTCCATCCAGATGCAGGCTGATGTTCACCTTCATCACTTTAAGGATTTTTATTGAAACTGATGACAGCTGCTGACGATCTTTGACCTGGCATCTTCTTCAGGTCTGAGATGGTCAGGTGGGAAGTTTTCGCTAAACCAGTGCGCTCAGAAAGCAGTAATAATATTTGATGTCAGGGCTCGCAAAATTTCAAAATCCCTGGTAGCCCTTCGGGCAGGGACTCTTCAGTTTTTGGTAGCCCAAAATAAATTTAAGTAGCCCGAATAAAAAAGAGAACAATTTTTTTGATTGATGTTAATCAAAAAATTGTTGAAACACAAATTACAACATTGTATAAAAATTACAATCATCAACTCAAATACTTGGTTCTAATTAAACAGAAATTTCTACGAACTTGTA